ACTCCCCCGCTTTAACCTGATTTAGTAATCATACAGTAATATGTTGATTGCTTATATATTACATTTTAGGACTCCTTTCAAATTCCTAGATTTTCCAATATATTACATGACCATACAAAACCCGCTTTTCTTCAAAAATATTCACAACATAGAATTTCATATTCAATCATTGGCATTTCTGTATGAGATTGTCAATAGCTTCTTACATGTTATGTGGAATGCATACCAGTACTATGATTGTATACCGCCTTTTGCATTGAAAATTATGAAGAAATGGCAGAGTTAAAACATTCAGGACAGTTTTTAATATTCACTTTCATCCACTATTGTATTTACACAATTCTAAAATATTACAAATTACAGCTCAGGAAAATTCAATTTGACACATTTTTCCCATGAAATCACTGCAGTTTAGAACAGTCTCAGATTCTGGCTGTCAAATACATTGTGATGTCAAATCACTCCTTACAAACACACATGACATAAATTGTATACCAGCGCACACAATTTTGTAAAAACCACTGAACAAGTATAGCCACCACTCTTGGCATAGTATTATCTTCCTTATGTGCACTATAATTAGAAGCTTTCAATCAATATAAGGATCAAACAAAGTTTCAACTGAAAACAAACCAGTTTCCTTTATTACTTTAAAATGAAGCTTCGGCCACTATTACATGTGTAAAATGGTACAATGGAACAGATAGGATGCGGCTTTTATTAGATCATCTACATGTATGAGAAATGGTGAATTTTTGGTTCTCAATTTTTCAAAAAGAATGGGTGCGGCTTCTAATACAGATTTTACAGTAGTCTTCATTCAAATGTCTTATATTTTCACCTTTCCATCCACACCTGTATCTCGGACACCAATCAGTAGATTACACTCAACACACACACGCACATTTGATTCATAATTTATTTCAAGATGGCTGAATGGCAGCCATTTTTGTGCAATCATTTCCACTATTCTAAAACACAGCTCTGCAAGGACATGCATGTACATGTAGCACATAATTTTGTTTTCCTCCTGATTGGTTCAAATTGGCAGTCGTCTTGTGAATATTTTTACAAATTTCGTTCCATGTCCTCATCTCTGACATGCCTCGACTGATTACATTCAAATTTACATGTCCATCATGCAACATACATGCACAGACTTATTTAATGGTTGAATGGAGACCAAATTAACGGTAAAAAATCTATTCTGGAAGCTGATCTTGCAATTTGGTACATACAATCACAGTTAATTCTTCCAGTAACCATGATAGAATGAACATGGAAACTTTATGCAAACCATTTTCAGCACCTATCTGATTTCATTTCATGAACAGATTTTTTTTTTCTGTTTAGATACTAAATGGCCAACCCAATAATAGCCTAAAAACCTACATTTTATTTTGATAGAGCATTATTTCTAAGTTGTGCTGGGTGATTCTGTTTAAACCGAGAAAATGGGCAACACCTGTGAGGCACAACATTATTTTTCGAAATTGTTCATTTTTGCCTATAATTATTAGATTTGGTACAGATGCAATACTATTTTACAAAGAAGCCATTTTGTCCTTTTTCACACATTTTGGCTTTAGGTCCAAACTTTGTTCACAGAAAATTGTGTTGCAGCACATCAAACAAAAGTTGATTTGTGTTACAATCAAATCCAAGATAGTCAACTGTCGGCCATTTAGTTTGATGACATTTTTGCACAATTCTGCTTATATCAAATTCTTGCTGCACAGACAATTGTAATTCTAGCACATCAACGAAATTTGGTCTGCATCACAATCCAATTAGATTGTAGACTTTGCAGCCATTTAAAAAAAATGCACTAAAGCGCACATTTTTTTTTTTAAGACATGCTTAGGTTGAATTGTATTAAACTCGATATGTTGGATGCCTGATTTTTTTTTTTTTCATTTTGACTCAAATGGCCGACTGGTAGCCATTTTGTTTTGGTTTTGCATATCTAAAGTAATTTCTCAAACATGCTTTGACCAATTTGGTTCAAACTTTCTCAAAAAGGAGCATATAAATGCCGCTATTTCATTTGTTCTATATAAAAATAGACTTGCAACTACTTTGTGTGACAAATGCAGTTTCCAAGCCGAATCCCCGACAGATCTAATTAAACTCAAAAAAGCCCAAATAAAGTTGCTCCATATTGTATCATGTCTGTCGTAATAGGTAGTAAAGATGTCTTGTGAGGGCAGTCATACTACCAGCAAATACCAACACACCACTGACGTAACAGACCATAATACTAACCACACCAACTTCAATTGCTTTCTCCTGGAATTTCATGAAATTGTTTTTTGCACAATCAAGTCTTTTTTTAGGAATGTCTGGTGTTTAGCTCATAAGAGATTCTCTTTGAAAAAATACGGGGACTGTCTTTTTAATGACTTGTTTTCAAAAATATTAACATGCTTACATTCCAAACTACTTTTTATAGGTCACAACCACAAACTCTCACAAATTTGAGCGGCAATTTCTGTGAAAACCAATTATTTCTTAATCCGAAAAAGGGGGGGGGGGCAGTTAAGGTTGCTCAGTCATGTTGTATATACAACACAGTTTATATAAAATAGTACACTTTTTAATGTATTATAGCAGTCAGAATATGAAGAGAGTTTCATTTGTACTGTGCGACCCATAAACACAAGCACATTGGTAAGATTGATAACAATGGCAGCAAGTTATTGTCATGGCAATAAATATTTATTTATAAATAAGATACAATATAGAATCCAGCAAGATAACGTTCTTCAGTATTAACTTTTTTAATAATGTTTTCCTGTATAATGTATACAACCAAAAGTATCATTTCAATAATTCACAGAAAAAAAAAAAGGAAAAAAAAAAGAAATAGCCCAATTGCTATTGACATGCCAAGGTTATTGGTTTTAATTCTGTACATAACACAAAGGATAGCTGGACTAATTCAAAATGCAGAAATTCTTCACTAGTCTAAATCTTGAAGGGAAAAAATCCAGACACCTTATGTGCAAGCAAAATGAAAAAGAAAAAAAATATTTCTCTGAAAACTTTTTATGCTGACATGAACTGAAAACATCTGACAAAACAAACTTAGTATAAAATTCAACTAATTTTCTTTCAAGTTGAAACTTGTAATGTAAAAATGTACAAAGTTTTTTTTTTTGTTTTTTTGTAAACCTTTTAATTTTTGTTATGGAAAAAAGTTCTCTAAATAATTAAATGATTTACAAGTTTTCAAGAAAATGTAAACTACAGACATTTTTGTTGTAACACAATATTTTTGTGCTGAATTCAAAGATTTTGTTTTTACACAAATTCAAGATATGCAAGAAAAGTGGCATTCACCGGTGGAATTTCCCATCATGCACTTGTTCAAGTACAAGAAAAGCAATATTCACTAGTAAAATATTCTATCACACACTTCTCCCTATTTATAAGCAGCAATTCATTTGCTCATGAACATGTAACTCAACTATATGAACCAGAAGAAACAGCAGCTGTACAAAAGCACGCACTATACAACGTAACCACAGTTAGCCAAGGCACAAATAATTCCAATATATTTTTCTCTGACAAATCTTACTTGGACTGGCACAGAAAAGAAATACAAATTTCCACGGAGACACACACAGATGACAGACAGAGCAAAATAAGAAATTTGTTTCAAGCCTCTTTTATGTAAGTACGCAGTACCTAAAGCTACAGCTAACTAACTCTGCACGAATGGTGGTCAGAAAATAACACTGGTGTATTCTTCTACCTTAACACCTGGGGTGAAGGATCGAAAATGCTCTCTTCAATACTGTAGTTCTCCACATTTTACAACATCACCAAATCGTTATTTGCATCATTATTTTGTTTTTTTCAGTTATTCAATCTACTTCTGAATAAGAGGTGCAATAATATCTCTCATTTGGGTTGAAGACGCAAATAGCACATGTTGCTAAGAGTCGAGCAACCAGCACCTGAATTTAAGACTCTGCTTAAAACGATTACAACACAAACAATATCTGCACACTCCATATTATAGTCAGATAGGTAGAAAAGGACGAGTTAGATTGAAAGCAGATTGATTGATAAATACATCATATCATTTTAACCAGTCCGGTATCTGTTACTGTGACAAAATAGTTTTCACTAATTAAACCAGCAATAGTCAGCTGATTAGCCAACGATACACAGCTGTATTGCAAGGAGTGCCTTTAAATTGACACACAATCTACTGGCTTCCTGAAAGCAACACTGCTTGCAACACTGCTGTATTGTCTGCCAGTTAGTTGATGATATTGTGAGCTTAGGTGTATGGAAACAAACTTGCAGCCACAATACATATTGTTTTCGTGTGATAACATTACAGATTATAGCAGGTGGTACAGCGAGAAACAAAAAACATGGCTAGAAAGGGCAGTGCCCATTTATGATGAATGTATCATAAAACACAAAGAAAGCTTACAGCACATCACCTAGCCAAATTTACACAGTGAGCACTATATATTTTATATGAAGGCCTTCTTTGAGATTTGTCTTTGACATTTTAAACAATTGACAAGCAGCACATTACAAAGAAATAAGGGTGAAAAGGGCCAGGGTACAACTTGTTATCAGACATACAGATGCATAGTATGTCTTGGAAGATTTCAGGTCACAAAGAATCGTCTTATTCCCTAAAGAAGGAAGCTGATCGATATCACACCAATATTCAAGTGGTGTATTCCAAATTGTTACTGTCTACCAAGATGTAAGTCTCACAAACCCAGCGTCTGTTGCCAAACATGCATCTTAGAGGTACATCACTGATGAAGTGTTGGATCGAATTTATGCAACAGCTTTATTGCATAATATGGACAACTGTTTGGCAGCTTTTTAGCATTCAATGTCGTCCCGGGAAATTAATAATTTACAGGTTAAAAATATATAGAACGTTCGTAACGACATGCCAAGTATAACGTATTACACTTATAGAAAGAAAAAAGTTTGAATGTACCAATGCAGCAGTGAGAGATGGATGCAGCAGCAGCAACAACAACAACAACAACAAGCTGGACCGATCAGTTCCTTTACTATATCTAAACTTGCACTGTGCAAATTACTCACGCTTACTAATAGAAACGTCAAACTAGGAAGTAAATATTTTGCAGGTTTTCTTGAATATAATTACTCTTCTGAGAGTAGCATCCATGTCATGATGAATTTTGGAGACTCTGAGAAGGCTGTGAAAAAAAGAATTTAATCTTGATGTTAGAAAGGACATTCCATACATAGTACAGGAGCATGCATACAACTTTAAAAATCACCACTGAGCATCATCTGTTAATGTTTATAACTTCACAGTTTACAAGCATTGCACATGTATGCAGATGTTGAAATATGCAACAGAAACAAGTTAATTCATTACCGTAAAATCTGTATTAGAAGCAGCATCACTAATAGAAGTCGCACCCATTTTTTTTGAGCAATTGAGAACCAAAAATTCACCATTTCTCATATGTGTAGATGCTCTAATAGAAGCCGCATCTCCTCTGTTGCGTTGTACCATTTTAATAGAAGCCGCTGCTTCTAATACAGATTTTACAGTCCTCCACGGAAGATGGCAGGAGCAATATACATACCTCTACTTGGAGGGTGAAGTTGTCGTAAATCGCACACAGGTCTTCTGTCTTGCACTGCTCTAAAATAACAAAACCCTCAAGGTTATAGCTAGCTTTACGAGCACACGACTCGCAGTGCACTTCGTATTTCTTGTCTTTCTCCGTTGTAAATAAGATATCAAACACTTCCACCTGCAAGTAAACATACAAATGGATCAGTTAAGACAAGTAACCATCACCAAACCCTTCTCCTTTGGTTGATTAGTGTTATCCAGGGACTGAAGAAGAGCAATCAAGTTTGAGAGACGTGCTAACAATTAATGATTATGTTTGGTTACATTACACAACTAAAATAGACCCTGCACAACAGAGGCAAGTTCTCAGTACAATACCGGTGCTTCTAACTAATGGCTATATTTAATACTTACTTCACAGTCTGCACAATAATGCGCTGCTTCATTCTTACTCCTTCCCTGCCAATGGATTTCAAGTCCCTGTTGTTTCAACCTTTCGCGTGTCAGTATTATTTGCTTTAATGTACGTAGTAGACAATACCTGCATGGACAAAGAGACGTTGTTGCATTATGTGTCACACAAATTTTGAAGATCGTGACAACAAATTAACGTGTCAAGCTTACACGGATTATATAACAGTGCAAAGCACGAGTGTCTGCAGGAATACAGTTGAAAAAGTTGATTAATAGTCACTTACACACACGAGTTGTGAAAAACATGGTGCAGTAAAGGCTCTCAAATACACCCACAGATTATTTCATTAAAAAAATGTTAAGAGAGTTTTACTGGTTTGTTATTAAGGTTGTACTCAGAGCATTCATGAGAGTAGTTATTATGGTCTTGCTACTATTATGCTATGAAATTACATTACATATTTTTTAAAGAAAAACAAGAGTATAGACTTTTTTGAATGGCCATCTTAAGTAACTTGGACTTCACAGCATTATTTTTTTTTTGATAGATTTGCATACTTTCTACAAAGCCCTATTGAAACGCCTCAGTTGTGTGATTAAAAATACAACTAAATCTGTCGATTCTACATAATATCATGAAAAATGAATGTATTTATTTTCACCCCCCCCAAAAAAAACTCATTTGTTGAAATTATTAATCTATTAATTCACATGCAAAAAAAACACGTAATTTCCATTTGTATCGTAATAATTAACACTCTTGAACAAGTATTTATTTTACTACTGAGAAATAATACACCTATATGGAAAGGGGTTTGATGTCCACAGCAATTACTATAACTGACTGTATGATACATTCTCTGAGACAACTTACTTGAGCATTTCATACAATTTGACATCAGATACTTTGATATTACGCGCCATATTCCATGAGAGGTGAATAACAGGTACAATTGACTTTACACTCTGTAGTTTATTCCATTCAAACCTTTCAATAGCCAGTCTGTAGGAATAGTTTGTCAGTGGTCCCACATTCCACGCTATATTATTGCACCAACCCTGCCAAAATAACACAAGAAATCAATCATTGAAAGCAGCCCTGGGAGAGATTTCCGCAAAATCAATGAGAAGTAGATTCGCGAGTAGCACAGGATATCTAAACTGCAGAAACTGCTAACTGACAACTATGAATACCATAGCACTGATCAGATGCTAAATATGTATGTGGATATTGTCAATGATTATTGGGAAACAGCGACATGGATTATAACATGGATCACCCTGACGTTATTGTATTCAAGTATACAAAACTACACCTCAGGGCCTAAGGTGGTGCCTAGCTTTGGGGCAAGAAGGAGATACACTCATGTACTGAGAGGAAAGTGTGACTCACCACTGCCTGTACCCAATGTACAGTCCCTGCATTTATCCAGACGAGGTCACCAGGCCTCTGTATAAATCTATACACTGGTATGTTTTCTTCATAAAGGTCTTCTAACACAGGCCACCACGATCCTATTAAGTAGTTCACCCCGTGCCTACAGAGTGATATGGATATTGATAAGTTAGCAGACAAAATTAGTTTCTATTTTCAATCTGTGTGACATATGACACTTTGGGTGAAAAGCATCTCTTCAATTACAACAATGTTGACAATGTCATGCTGACCTAGATATCATAAGAGATGCATGCACACCGTAAAACCTTTACTGTGACTTGAAAAATCTAATAAAAAATTATGCAGTGATCCTCCACTACAAAATTCACCTGCTTGAATATTTTATTTGAAAATATCTAGTCACATGTACTTTATCGCCAAGAAAAACCTTGATAAACATTGCCAGTGATTGTGTCACTGCTTGCATAGTCAGTCTAATTCATATGAAATATTTCCTAAATTATTGTGAATGTTTTTTTATCGTCGCCTATGTTTCAGGAAATAACTACTTACTTTACACAGAAATTATGAATAACTCCCCAGTATGGTTCAGGAACTGCAAACCATTCACAGTCTCCAGGTCCTATATTCATATTGACTGAACAAAAATTGTTGTTCTCTTGGTGCCCGGGCGTCCTACTTCCAGGGACCTTCATATACAGCTGAACTGAATTCATTCCAAGTATGACATGACCAACGTGACTCAGCATATTCCCAGCTGACACCACCCGCGTAAACGCTGGCAGTTTGGTCAACTCCTCAAGTTGGGGTTTCCATCTATCAAAAAACAAACAATTATTAAGTCTTTAAAACCGCTGCTGCACTCAGTGATGCTACAGAGTCACTAGGAAGTAACAATGCACCTTGTGTCCATTACCGATACCCCACCACCTGCACCACACAAACCATATCCACAAAACTTGACAACTTCTAATAACCATTTTCAATTGTGCCAATGGTTCAAAATATGGCTATTACATCAACTATAATCTTTTAAACCTATTCCAGTTTCAAAGCAAATGCTGAAGACTAGTGATATCCAAGACAGAAAATATTGCCTTCTATGTTTTTAGCCTTTAATTCAATCTCAATGCCAACTATCATTTTTTTCTCTCCAAAAGATATGATCACAATATAGACAATAAGGTAAACTTTTAACACTCAAATTGTTGATAGAATTACTACAATATTAAAACTTTATTTTAAAAGCAAGACAATGTATTGGAAATTGAAAGAAATCTCCAACACAACTCGTTCAGACTGAAGTTACTTACTTCTTATCATCAGACAAATCCACATTGGTGCCAAACTTTAGCAGTTTAAATTGTCTGCCACTTGATGATTTCTTCTTTAAACCACTGTCAACAGAAAAGCAAAGGCACATGAGGGGGGATCATGGGATTATTAAGTAGGCTCACGACAAACAACTTTTGTTGCACCTTCAAGTCCCTTCCTTGTGAATGCAAGTTTGCAAGTGCAAACAAAATATGTAGAAATATGATTTCACTTAAACTTCAATAACATTTGATGGGGAAGTATGCCTGCAATGTTTCAGTGAGACTTATGTGACCATAATGAGATGCATTAGTCTCAATCAGCTTTCAGTTGTCATGTTTCAAACTAGGCATTTCAAAACTGATATTATTTTGCAAGACAGGCACTGCCTCCTTAAATCAACTTTGAACCCCCACCCCAAAAGATTATGTGCTTTTTTAATTATTATCAACCATCAATTATTGTGAAACGATAAACAATTTTCCCGGGAAAGCTACTTCATATATAAAATACAAATGGATGAAACAATAGAATAGAGAGTGATGCTTACCTTTTTGAAGTGGTTGAAGACCCTGAGTCGCTATCGTTTGGATCCATGTGCTGCTGTTGCATTTGCATTTGTTGTGCATGTTTACTCTTCGAACTCTTCTCAGCTTCTTCCTACAAGTAAGATATACACCGATAAGAAACCCTCCTTTTTTAATACTTCCTATGCACCACTACAACCCTAGCTGCTCATATGGGGTTAAGTGCGAAACATTGCATTGACCAGATTCTCATTCACTCCAGAAAAGAAAAAGGTAAAAGGCTAGTCAAACTCTCCGACAGTCAGTCTGTAGTGATAAACATTCTATTTCAAAACTTCCTCCATGACAGGAGAAAATAAGAAACAATGTTCAAGTACTTGTGCAGTTTAACTCGTATCAAATTTAAACGCCAATACTTACCCTAAGAGACTCTTGGAAAGATGATGCTTGATGCTGAGCGTATTTTGCTATCGTTGTGAATGATCTACTGCTTTCATACCTCCAGATCTTCTTCAAACCTTGTGCATCCCAATTCTCATCTGATGGTTGTTGTCTCTGTTTTTTTTTTAAAAAAAAAATGAATATGCATTTATGCCTAATCAAGTACATAGTTCTCATTTAATAGATGCCTGTTTAAAATTTATGTTGGAGAGAGCGCCCTCAAGTGTCAATAGGTAGTACATTAGCCCCTTTATAAAATATTACTGTAAAAAAACCAATAAAATTCATGTGGTATCCTGTAACAATAGGAAAAGGGTTGGGTATTCAGAATTGCACATTTTTTTTCATTTGATCCAATGTCTTTCAAATGGACTAAGCAGACCTAATCAGCATAACCACAACACTTCAACTCGCAGTCTGAACTAATTCTTGTACACACAAGTCAGATTCAGTTTCCAGCTGTAGACACAAGAAACCAATATCAGGTAGACATCAGAACATGTACAACAAGAAAATCAACTGAAAAATCAAGCTTTAAAGCAGGGTTCTGTCTGCCTGTTATTTTATGACCGACCATTTTTATTTCCTGCTTATAATTCTGCTGAAAAAATGTCTCAAAGTTGTCTTGATATTTTGTGCTGACTGATAATCATTAAATGGCATTTAAAATATAACTGCTTTATGTTTAGGGGCTTAGAGCAATAAACAGCAGCAACCTTTGTAAAGTCATAGTGTGAGACATGGGCACGCAAGTCAATCCCTGTACAACGTACTTGACCTACCTGTGTTCGAACTTCTACAGTGTGATCAGCGTTGGCTTCCACTAGAGTCTTTGTGGAAAATAAACCAAGATCTAGCCTCAGAGCAGCAGCTAGTCCACGAACCACGGTTATTGGCTGACTGGGTGAAATACAGTACTGTTGTAAAGCAGTAGAGAAGGCATCTTTTTTGCTTTCGACCTGAATGGAATAGAGTACATGTAGGTATCAGCGAAAGAATAGACACAATCTAACTGAGGTTATCTGCAAGCATCAAACTGATACTGAACTATGACATTCTACTCAAATTAATATACAAAAATATTTGACACAGCACTTTTTCGGATTTACAACAATATTAAAACAAAATCTTAACATTAGGTTGAGTCTGAACAGTGAAATAGTCTTCTTAAAGCAAATTAAATCCTTGAAATACACTTACACATAAAGTAGGCCAAGGTCATCAAACAGAGCAAAGAAACATTTCTTTTTTAAATATATATGCATATAATCTCGTTTTAAAAGCAGCTAATCTATCCAAATCTATTTCGTTAGTGTCTTAATGACAAGTCACTAAGATTTCTTGAACATTGGCATAGACATGTATACGAAAGCTAGACAAGTATACGATAGAAATCACATCACTTGAATGTTTCTGGCAGAGTTCTATCAACTGGAGTTGGTCTGAGAATCTCTCTGTTGGAAGCAATCTAAGAATATAGGGCCAATGTCTGGTGAAGGAGATAGCACAAAGCAGTGTGGTGTCATTGAAATATGACCACATCAATTACTTGCACATGTATATCAAGAAAGTAGGACACATCACTTGAGATTTCAAGAGGACATGGTACATGTATTGCAGTAAATGTGGCAGCCACATTAAAGATTTTTCCCAGTGAACCCTGACCATCAAAACATGATAAATAGAGCAATAACACATCAAATAGTAATCAATTACTTACATAAACAGTTGGAGTTGGTGGGTTGAGTTTATCTTTTGGTAGGGGTGGGTAGGGCGCCGGTGGGGGTGTTGGCGGCGGCATTTTATCCTGAAGAATACTGCTGCTGGTAAGTCCGTTTTTTCCCACTCGGCTGCACACAGCCAGAATTTCTTTTGAACACGAGTGAATAGAAAGTGATCCCGGCGAGGATGAAGGTGCCGACGATATCATGTCCATGTAACTGCTTCTCGCATTGCTATGCTTGGTGTTACTGTTATTTGTGTTCACTGACAATGCCTGCAGTTGTAATATTTTTTTTTGTATTAGTAATAAATATACATGTGTGATAATTCATCTGTATACAATCAGCCCCTAGTTTGAGGCCTCCTACGCTGTAAATACAAGTTGAGAATTTAAATCTTTACAAACACTACATAAATTATAGAAAATATATAAGCATTTTTACAAATGTAGAGAGAAGCAAGCATACAATCACATCAACACACTCGCATGCAGTATGAATAAGAATATGAAATCCCAAATTGAGAGCAACTACTGCAGTTACACATAAAACAATGTACAGAAATACACATAGTATGGAACAGATAAGTTCGCAAAAGAAATGAAACACAATACTCACCTTTTCACTTAGTTTTGCTTCCATAGTACTGATAAGTCCTGCAACTGAAGTTTCCTGATGCTGTGGTTTAGTGTCACACATGGACAACCTCTGTGATATTGTGCTCGACTGTGACCTTCCCGGCGATCCAATCACATTCAATGGAGAAGAATTGATAGTATTTACAGCAGTGTTAGATCCAGGAAGGAGGGTGTGAGACACTCCCAAGTCCTTTGTCACTGTACCATGCGACAGTGTACTGAGCAGAGTCCTAGAGCTCTCTTTCATACCTGCATGGCTAAGGAATGTTTCAAAACTTGGGGTGGAGAATGTACTTTGTTGCACGGACGTTGAAAACGTGCTAATTCCGGCAGATGCCGGTTGGGGTATATTGCCACTGGAGTTGATAGTCATAATACTGGGAATACATTTCCGTGTTAAGCCCTGATCCGTTGGACTCCGTAAGGCAGCATTCAGCATAGGGCTTTGCTTGTCCGTGTATTGACCTCCCTTGATAGCAGAACTCTGTTCTCCTTGAGCCAGCTGGGCCAGCATACTATCCGCTATCGCTTGTGGAGACATCAGGTTCCTGGATGGTAAGACTCCACCTGGAATTTGAGCATTCAGTTCAGCAACTTTCTGAGACATTTCTGAACTCTGAGGAGCAGTCACATTAGGTGCAACAAAGTCACCAGCCATTGCACTTTGAAAACCCATCCCACTGGGGAACACTTGGACGGGATTTGTGGCAACAGGGGGAGTAGGCATACTTCTTGGCACACCAACTATTGATGATGGTGGACTGCTCATGCCCTGAGTAACGTTTGTGTTTTGATTTATTAAATTCACCACTTGGTTATTAGAAACATTGGCCTGAGGTAGAGTGGTATTTGTTTTTCTTTGCTGGGCTTGGTAAGGCATGTTTGGTGCCTGCGAAGCCAATTGACTTACATCAACATTGGGTACACGCTCACCTTGCATAGAGGGTGCTCTCACAAAAGATGCGTTCATATTATTACACGGCTGCAAATTGCCAGCAGCTGACACCATCTGAGCATTAGATCCTTGTAACTGGGTCACAGACGCCAGACTGGAGTTCACATTTACAGCACTAGTCACAGGGTAGAGTAACCTGTTACCTGATGTAATCACAGACATATTTCCCGTCCTTGTACTCACCGCCACAGACGAGGAGGGTGAAAACGAAGGACTCAGCAATGGACTGGTTGTTGGAGTTGGAAAATTCTGCTGCGGAGACGGCATTGAATTCACAGAATTTGGAATCACGCTTAAGTTTGGCAGAGTTTGTTGTCCCGGCATTGATGCTTGAGACATTATTGCCGGTAGAGTTTGCATTATTGTTCCTGACAAAACATTTGATGGAATGTTTGCCTGCATATTGGATAAACTTGTACTTGTATTCACAGACATAACAGTACTTCCAGGCACACTCTGCTGCTGCATTATATTTCCTGGCAATCGCAGCATATTTGCAGTTTGCAAAGTTCCAGTCATACTATTTCCTATAATTGAATGCTGTTGTTGTTGCTGCTGCTGCTGCTGCTGCTGCTGCTGTTGTTGGGGAGATAATCCCTGCGTGGGTATACTTCCTTGCGGCGGTAATTTCATTTGGTTCTGCTGTATCCAGCAATGATGCTCCAACTGCTGTAGCACCATTTGTTGTCCCGCATCTAATTTTTGTCTATTTTGCTGCAGAGTTTTTAGAAGTTGTAGCTGCTGAGGCGTGAGGTAAAACGGTGTTGACATGGGTGTGAAGCCTTGAGGAGGCTGCATGTTCCAAGTTTGTGGCGGCGAAGTTGGCGTGGAAGACTGAAAGATAAAAAAAAATGTTGTTTGCTTATTAACAGATAGTATCTACTGGGGGAAAAAACTAATACACAAAAACAAAATCAGACGACATTTTAGAATACAAATCTGGCATTTAAATTAAATTACCATAACAACAAAATATCAAGTAACGTGTAGATTTCGACATTGCAGGTTCAATCAGTACAACAGCTACATCACCCACAAAGTATATCAAATGACAGTCCACTTACCCGTCTTTTAGTTGAGTTTCTTGGGCGTTTTGATGAGCTAGTCTCCTCTTCTTGCGTCTGTGCCGGCAGAGTTTGCACTGTCATGCAGTTAGGGGGACTTGGTCCCATAAACTGATTTTGAAGACTGTTCAAATTTTGCAGATTGTTTGCCATTGGACCAGGCAGCTGTCCTTTCATCTGGCCAATTGGCTTTTCCTATTTAATTAACAAAGCCAAAATGTTAATCATATTCAAGGTACAAGCATATACTGATGCAAAGATTATTACAGCATTTGAAAAACTACCGTATTACAGTTGTCATTAACTTTAAATGTGCGGTAAACGAACCACAAACTTTCACAAATTTGAAGGCCTTCAGTAGTACTCCACATAATAATAGGTAGATCTAAAATTCAGATCTTCAACACTGGTCAGGTTTCACAACTGCTACTGTAAAGTACTTTATTTACATTTAGAATTTATTTTTGCTACTATTGATAAAGTGCTGAAACAGTGAAAATAAAATACAGCAAAATATTTTACATTCAACTCATCAAGAAAGCTGTTACTGTAAAATAATTTATTTTAGCTGGAATTAATTTTTGCTGAAAAGACTTTTTGGGTGTTTTGTATGGAATATATTTTCACTGATTTTTGCCAAGTTGAATGTAATATAAAGGAAAAATGGTAAATAAAGTATTTTACAGTAAAGTAAAAGCCAAAACAAGTTTTACAGTATCAGACTAGAGACCTAGACACTGAGGGCACAGTCTCTGCAACTACAGTGATAATTGCTTGATTACAAACCTGAATATCCGTTCCAACAGTCCCTTGGCGCGATGTCAGTTCTGCTGGGATGGGAAGACTCCAGGCCTCCTCTATGCTCGGCAACATTTTGGGTCTAGAAAAAAGTGAAACATGGCTACAGGATATCCATACTACAAATGACTATTAAATTCTTGATTTGTAAACAGAACAGTAAAAAAAACACAAGGTCGGTATAATGACCATGAAGTAACTCGGTTGCCTGGCTAACTCTGTGAACTTTGGTTAAATCAATAACAGCTTATTTACATTTGAATTCACTACCACATCGTCAAAGAACTAACTTGTTTGAAACTAACACTACACTTAAATCCAATGTTAATCAGTATTCAGTTGTTAAACTCGGCAAGAATTAATTAGGATCCTGATAGGGTGAAATTCATTTACCATCGTAACTCGTAGCTAATCAGTTTCCAACTGTTTTTGACACCAGAGGTATGCACACATTAGTAAATAAGACATTGTGATCTCTCTTGAAGACTTAAATGATGATAGTCTTCACATTTGGTTGTAAAAACAATTAAATTATTGGCTCTATTTGCAGCTCATGCCCTTATGTAAATTACAGTGGTGTTACTGAGGTTAAAATATAAAAATATTTTAATAATTCACAACACAAAAGCCATTTTTGATTTCTGTGTGCTTCTATTAGATGTGCAGCATATACGATACTATACCAGTCATGCACAATGCATCTTATTTGCATAATAATGTGGCCCAAGTCAAGATTCTCTTTGAAAGAAACTTTATTTTTTTTTCTGTCATTGATTATTCATGACACAAGCGATTGAGTAGTAAAAACGGCAAATAACCGGGTTACACCTTCATGACTTACGTTGACATGTACGTTAGATCGTAAAACTTCAGTTTTAATTGCATTGTTGCTACTGATAAACATGTTGATTTTTTTCATGTGTCAATTAGCCAGGTCTACGTGGAATGAGCTGTTCCATCATGTTTTTTGCACCAGCACCACAAAATTCAAAGCCACTTATTCATACTTACTTGTTTTGTAGATTGGCTGGCGTTAAAGTATTCATTTGCGATTGTAATACTTTGATTCGTGACAAAAGAGAAACTGAACAATTTTTATTTTTTGAAGCGTTGATGTAGCAAGTTAAAGCGTCCCTGCAAAGAAAAAAAAAAATTTTTTTTAATCAGCCTGTAATTTTTTTAAACAATGAAACAAAGTATTTGTTAAGGTTGCAATAAAACTAACCTGGGCTGATTGCAAGCTTCGTATAAAATGCCTAAGTCAGTCCAAGCTGCAACATGTGACCTATCCAATTGTACTGCACATATATATGCTTGCAATGCATCCATAGGCTGGTTCTGCTGCTGATACAGCACACTAAGGGAAAACAAGAATCAGTATTCGTGTCATTCAAACAATATAAATCAATTAGTTCCCAGGTGCTGGTTTTAGTCCCCCCCCTTACTACCAATCACTTGGCAGGTAAACTCAGTGAGAAATACATGCATCAAAATACTTTCATTGTGATATTTAGTATTCTAAGACTCAAAGCAATGTTCAGCAACAAATCACACACTTAATTTGTAGAGAGATACAGAGCAAAAAGCCAGAGATTTTAAATTGCCTATAGCCAATCACGCACCCTATATAAAAATATTCACATCATATACATTAAAACTGCAAGCCATGTTTTAACAAATTCAATCGAATATTGTAATGGGTGTTTTTTCGTAACACGGTGAACCCCAAAAAATATCAGTGCCTAGATACTGTAAACTACTTAATGACATAAAAGCATACATTATCACACAGCGTACCCTTGCATAGCATGGATCATTTTTTTTTTTTACGTTTTGTGCAAATACCGATACCCGCGTAATGTGGATATCGCCTTGTAATGAATGATATAAAATAAATTTAATGGATAACATCACATCATGTGTGAAAAAAATTTCTTTTGGTCTTGAAAAATGTAGTTCTTGGCACATTGTTTCATAGTCTATAATTTGAAAGGCAATCTACTATTTTTCCTCCACGAGTTAGTGCAATAATTTTTATTTTATTTCACATATGACAATGTACGGGAAAAAAAAACAATGGCCAATCTTATGCCGAAATAAAAGAAAAACTTCTAAATACTGTTTAATACTACTCAAAGCAGCGATTGACAAACATCTTTTTTATTCATTTACTTGAAAATTAACGTGGAAACAAACAAATCTGAAACTTTCGCCCTGACATACCTTGTTTTTTATTGACCAAGTTTTATCATACAACACTCAGTTTATAGATCGCTCTATACCAAGTTTTAGTTAGTGGAACCAAAATTCCTGATTGCGATTCAATGGCAAAAAGTTGTTGAAAACTCAACCACAAACATACAACGGAAATGCTTGACAACATTCTGACACAGAAGTCTAGCAAATACACCAAATGTTGCATTTATTACACAATGCATATTACATCACCAGTCAAAGGACGACAAAGAAAATAATGCAACAACACAGATTTAACTAATATTTATTGAGATATTGTTACTTACCCTATAGAGCACCATGTGTCAGCGCTGGCCTCCGACTTATCAATGGAATGTCTATAAGATACAAAGGCATCATGTACCTTTCCAACACTAGAATAGCACCTTCCAAGAAAATACCACGACTGTCCGCTGTTAGGATCAGCTTCTATTGCCTTCAATAGACATTGGATTGCATACGTCTCTCGTATCGTTTTTTCACCTAACAGTTCCGAAGTGTGATGTAACCAACCTGGGGATGTAAAGGTTAAAGGCCATATGAGAATCCTACAAGGTCAAACAAGCTGTCTCTCTGAGACATGACAGTGATGAAAGACGTGCCATTTATAGACAAGATTATCGACAGACAATTAGATGTACTGCATTTGCGTAATTACTTTTTTTCTTTCTTAATTTAGAATATTACTTCAGACTTACCAAGTTGTCTCAAAGTATTTGCTTTTAAAACATCTGTAAGTGTACTGCTTTCTAACAACTGCTCGTACGACTCTTTTGCTGCAATATGCTTCCCCTGAAATCAAACCAGCAATGTCTTACGTGAATAACCCATTTTCAAACATTGTCAAATTTACTAAAGCTAAATCTTGTAATATTGTAACTGGAGGGAAGTGTGAGAGATGAGAAATCATCAATGTTTTATTCTCAGCCATCCATCCATCAATAAACACAATTTTTGTTGGTTTTGTAGCACTAATACCAAATTACCAGACATAGAATATAGTAAGAACCATCTGGAATATTGCTTGAAAGCTGATGTGTACAACTTGTAGTTGTTGATTAACATGCACTTTCAATGGAGTTGAGCTTCTAATAAAGCAAATACAGTACACGGGAGAGTCATGAAGACAGACACAATATTGTGAATGTCACTCCTATGTGATAAGCCTGTAACATTCATAGCATACTGTGGAATACTTTATTTTCACTGGAATTAATTTTCGCTGAAAAAGCTTTTGGGCCGTTTTGCTTGGAATTTATTTTCACTGATTTTTGACGAGTTTAATGTGAAATATAGGAAAAAAAGTTTATTCGCTGGATTTTATTTTCACGGAATCATCCCTTCAGCGAAAATAGCGAAAATAAAGTATTCTACAGTATTGAGAACTTGTTATAAAGTCAACATTAATGAGAAAATGGCGAGTTGAGAAACCATATTACTTGCCTGAATTTCATATAAATGTGCTATGTGGAATTTAACTGAAAACAAAAATACAGAGGCACAAATTATTCACAGGTAAATTAATGAAGACAGACAGACAGGCAGGCAGGCATACATTATCTAAAGTTACTGCATAAAGTATTAGCCATGCCCAAATAAAGAATCACAAGTTCCAAGCACAGCACGAGAGTATTACACTCCTACAAATAACGAAAGGTTCCCTTCCAATCGATAATATAATTCTCATTACATTAACACTTAATACTTGTTTCTGCATACTATGACCAACAAGATTTATCGATTTCACATTCATATCAAGAAACTTGTTTTTTTTACCACAGTTTGTTAATACTACTCCATAGACATAATGGCTAGCAACAATACTCACTCTCTAACTTAGACAAGGAACACGGACTTGAATCTATCAGAGCTAACTGGAAATGCTTTAAACTTGATTCATAATCGGAATTAACTTTGAACATCAACCCCAGCCGAAGATGAATTTCATTGGCACGACTGAAGCCGGGATCGGTGTAAAGAACTTGTTGAAAAACACGGATTGCCCTGAAAAAAAAAATAAAAAATATCAGTCGATGAACTTTACACCCATATATAATAAATAAACCATTTACAGCTTATACTTGCACAACTCTTCTACATACCTGGGCTGCTAGGTCTGAAAATTCAGACATTCCACACATTAAATAAATAATGTACACCCATGTAAATTCATTCAATGTGTAGTAGGTGAAGCCGAGATAGCTATTGTTTTCCTGGATGCCAAGCTTGGGTTTCATTGTTGTACAATTTTGCATAACAATGCATTCATGGAGACAACTGAGCATGCTCCATGACCTCTTGTATTATAATTGTTGTTCTTTTCTCTCCACCCACATTCAAGAGTGTGAATTGCATAGCATTCTTGAAGTTTAAAATTACACAATGAGAAATATCAAGCCCCTTTCATTTGAAACAGAATAACCCTTAGAGACAAGTTTTAAAAAAGAAGTAAAAAGCAAGCTTGGTACCCAACACCAATAATAATAGCAACAGAACAAATTCTGCTTTACCCAAGTACAACAAAGGCGCCCTATTCCCCTTGCACAGAAAATAATGCCACAGTGGAAATGGCCTAGGCAGTAACTTTCTATTAAGCAATCGTGGTGTAATTATTTACTAGGAAATATCTGACACTGGGGTATTTTTAAACTTATAATAAACTTTATCAAGGACAAAACCAAATGTCAGTCACGCCTTTTACAATGGATTGTTTTTATTCATGTGCCACATGTTTTAAATATATACATGAGGGAAGCATACAGTTGCATATAGGCACAATCAGTGACGAATCACCACTAGACATGGGTCAATTACATTTATGTACATTATGTGAAGGTGTGAGAATTTGAAATCAGGACTTTATATCACACATGGATTTTAAACTAACATCTCAAAGTAACAGTAATTAATATAATTCCTGATAATAATTTAGGAATGCTGTGTAAAACCAACCACCAATATCTTGAAATATTAGCCTATTTTGCAATAGTCAGCCATGATGTTAAAAAGGTCAATAAGGTCAATCATAAAAGTACAGTATTCAACTAGGGGTCTGAAGTATAATAAAAGAAGCAAAGAGTTTGATAAAAAAAAAAAAAAAAAAGGACACTACATGTTATCTGGAACTGAAACTAAAAAAATCACGGATATAAACATTAAATGCTATTTAGGAAATAAGTAAAACCAACAGAAAGATTACACAATAACTAATACCATATGTCAAAGAATGTAAAGTACAGGATTACATGTAAATCACAAAATGAATTATGAAATGAATCAATGGGAAGTACATGTACAAGTTCAGTACAGTGAATTACCAAAGAAGATGACACTCTTTACCTGTTTGTAAGAGTTGTAAAACAATCTTATAACCAAGCATCCATCATATACATAGCTAATGCACAACTGTTTAAACTACTACTAGTAGTAGTAGTAGCTGATTTGATTACCCACAGTTGAGTTGGGAGGTCAACCATGAAGTCCACACAACCCACTGAAGTAATCAGTTCAGTGTACTTGAATGCCAGGCTTTGTTCATCACTAACCCATTCATGCAGCCAGACAAAAGACAAGTTCACTCAGAATATACAGCTAGAATACATCAAATTAAAGACATCCATACATACAGTCACTCTGACTGAATGATTGTGATAAAACACTGACGAGAACATCATTTGATGAAAACTGAACTGTAAGGGATGACATATACTACACATCCGGTGAGTGAAATCACTGTACAAAGAAACACATGTGCACATGGCAAGGACACACAACTGCTAATGTTAAAACTTATTCAGGAATGTCAAAGAGTGAGCTAATTAAAAACACTGGAAATCAATTGAATCAGTAAATAGAAACACCGATACATACCTATTACTGGAAATCTACACAAAGACAGCACGCTGTATTACCAAGGGGGAATTAGAGTTAGAGACAAAGGCCAGTCCTTGATGGCTTGATGAGTGGGTGTTTGTATGCAAATTAGATACTACCACTTGGTAATGATCATCCACCCACCTACACATTCACACTGAAGCCACTTCACGCCGAATTTTACACCTTGTTGTTACCATGTACAAGGATGAGATACAAGATAGCCAGATTCAAGTGCAGCAGTGTGTACATGTACAAACCGCTGCCATATAAACAACAAGCACTTGTCACAAACAATGGGTGTTGTGAAACCCTAACAAATCCCAAGGATGCAAAGTAATGTGTATTTATAGCGATATGATGTGCTATTTCTTGGAAACAGTACATACAGGTGTTCGGTGGAATTATTTGTTGTATAGCAGATTATTGCAATGAAAACCACAAGGATTTTGTCATCGACTCGATATTGCCATGAATGTTGTAAGATTACAACAACTGATTACCAACTTTCTCAATGACAAAATCTTGGTAGTTTTCATTGTAAAAATATTATACATAAATGCGTGCATCAACAATAGGGCAAATACACTAGTTCTACCAATGGTAATATCAATATAATCTCTACTGTTGCTCGATTTAACTAAAATTAAACAGCATAGAAATGTAGAAAGGATTGTCAAATTTTATTTTTCTATTTCATCACATTATTTTTCTAACTATATATATATATATATATATATACAGTCAGTGTACACCTCAATGACACTATCCTAATGTAATTATATTACTACTATGAGAGATAAGCCTCGTTTCGCCCTCAATCTGTGAAGTCACAACAGCAAAAATGAAGTATTTTTACCTAATGTAATGAACCGCCCTGCTGCCAAAAACCAAACGCACAAAAAAAATATCTCTACATTTTTCACCGCACAGACCAAATGTACTACGGGCAAGTCCTAAACAGGATGTTGGTTTTATATCTAATCAAAGCTATAAATACCAAATCTTTGCACAAATATACTTAAAAAAAAGTTCGCCAGTAAAACATTTGCAAGCATAAAGCATGCCACATGCAAGCTGGTACTTTGTAACTTTATACAAGTCCTCTGTTGACCCTGATCTACATACCAGTTACCAAAGCAACACAAAGGAAACAAACAATAAATGTGAACAGACTTAATTCCCTCTCAACATGAACATGTGTTTCATGTTTAAAATTGCAGCAGGTTGTGCGGTAGAACAGCAGATAAGCTTTTGCAGAATGTTGAATATAATTTTCAACAGCTTGCAGAAATAGGATCTTGATGTCACATGTTACCCACAATGCAATACACTTCCTGGGGGTCTGATCAGATCATGATTGAGAAGGGAATATATCAACATTTGTGCAAGTGCTCCTATAATATTTTATTTCAAATCACAGTACAGTAATGATAATTTGATTTTTTTTTTCGTGTTAATTCAACAAAATAAGCCAAAAAAGTTGCAGACAAAGAACAAAATTATCAAGCTTGTACAGCATGCATCATAGATAAGGTAATCAGTTGTGTATGTAATAAGCTTTTAATAAACTCAAAAGTGGATATTTAGAACCATGATGAGAATTTAAAGTTGAAGGGGGGGGGGGGGAACTCAACACATTGATCACACAACACTACAATATTATTTTGCACATATTTAGAATTAACAGGGTCAGGTTCATCACACGCATGGTTTTATGTAATCTGCTGATTTTGTATTGGTCAAATACAACATGTTGTATGCAAATTTTACACTAAGGTACAGTGAATGGAACAGAGCATTACTCCTAGGCAATGGTGGAGTGAAGTACAGCGAGTGGAAAAGAGGATCGTCCCTAGGCATTGATGGAGTGAAGTACAGCGAGTGGAACAGAGGATCGTCCCTAGGCATTGGTGGAGTGAAGTACAGCGAGTGGAACAGAGGACCGCCTTGTAGGTGTTGGTGGAGTGAGGTACAGTGAGTGAACAGAGGATCGCCCCTCGACATTGGTGGAGTGAGGTACAGCGAGTGGAACAGAGGATCGCCCTCAAGAAGTTAGTGGAACAGGGTACAGCGAGTGAACAGAGGATCGCCTCTCGACATTGGTGGAGTGAGGTACAGTGACTAGAACAGATCATCACCTCCAGGCATTGGTGGAGTGAGGTGGAGTGAGGTACAGCGAGTGGAACAGAGGATCACCTCTAGGCATTGGTGGAGTGAGGTACAGCGAGTGGAACAGAGGATCCTCTCTGCATGTTCAAACCAACCCTCTTGTCAACTAGCCTTGAATACGACACCATAATAAATATTTACGCATTCTACATTAAACTGACAATGCTACAGACAAACTGAAATTTTTCCATGTTTATAGTGCTTTATTCTAACTGACATTTAAGTTAGTGTTAAAATGTTAGTGAGTGTGTTGTACGTTTATTTTTTAAAGATCTGTGGTGAGTTATGTGCTAAATAACAAGCAGCCTGTTGGTTGAGATAGCTTCGCTGTTAGCAATGCACATTTCAATTAAGAACTGAAGATATCATCACAAAATGAACAAATCTGAGAGAGATACACATGTAGTATCTATATATGTAATATCAAAGCAATCAGACTTGTGGTTTTTAACAAGATGTCGAAAATATCACTTTTTACCAAAAACGAAAAAAATATTTACCAAAATTAGAGAATTTGACATGAAATGAACAAATCTGAGAAAGAACCATCCAAGGTAATTGCAAATTAAATTTGAAAACATTCTGATTTGCAGTTTTGAAGCAGAAGTTGAAATTGTAAAGTTGACAACAACGACTGACAACGTTTTACCAAAAATGACAAAAATATTCATCAAAATTAGAGAATTGAAGATATTAGAAATGAACACCAAGTATCAAAGTATCATTCAGGCTTGTAGTTTTCAAAAAGAAGTCAAAAAAGTAAAAACATTGACACAGACGACGACGAACAATCACTCCTATGATAAGCTCTGCTCGACAGCGGAGCTAAAACAAATTTTTTTCATTTTTCTTTAATCCATTTCACCAATGGAGATATCAAGTGAAGGTAAAGCACAATAAAATATATTATATAATTTATTTCTTTAATTTTAGTGGATTAAATGGTTATTTAAATTCACTGGTTTGTGAGAAGATAATACATTATCCTGCCAATTTGCATATTCACTATATTTAATTTAGCTATCAGAGAATTAAGCGAATAATTAAGCCCTGTGCAGTATATAGAATTAGGGAGACAGAATGTACGACATCCTATTCTAC